GGGGGGGGCGGGCGGCTTCTCTGTGGAACCGCTCCAGAAAGACGAGCGGGGAGGGGGCCTTTACCGGAAGGCTTCAAGGCTGTGAAGGTGTCCTAGGGATGAAAGGGGTGGTTTCGTCTGGAGGCGCGTTGAAGCAAAAGAATCAACTTAATTCATCCGACTAACCCTTCCGTCCCGCCCCCAATTGTTTGCTGAAAAGTACCGTGTAAACAAGAGTTGGATTTTTTTTTTTCTTCATTGTGTGCAGTGAACCCGTTTTGCAGGATGAGCACTGTGAGTGAAGAAGTTAAGCCAGAAGATGGCAAACCGGAATCTGAAAAAAAAATATTTTTTTGTGAAGTGAGTGCTTTTCTTGATGGCTTTTCGGACTGAATGCTAAAATGCAGGCGTAAGGTATTAAAGACCATGCTGTTAGAAATGCAGACCTAAGCTCGATGTAGTGTGGCAAAATTGTAAGTGAGAGAAGCTGTTAATGCGGAGAATAACGTGGTCAGTCTCTGGAAGAGCTGCTTGTCTTAGGATTTGGAGAATTCAGTTTGTTATTTAGCAGTCAGGTGCAATATGATGGTCCTTAACTGTAGTCTTTTAAATCTCTGTTAAGTATTTCTCATAGGCAACTGTAAAGGCTTATTTATCTGTAAAGGCTACAACTCCAGGTCAGAACGTGTTAAACTTGTCAATCATATATTCTTCTAGCAGTGAGGTTTCTTCTGGTGCATTAAACTTCTGGGACAGTATGTTAATAGAATAGGCAATATTAGCATATATCAGTCATTGCTTTTTTTTTAGCTAAAGATAGTAAGAAATAATTGTAGATCTGTATTGTGTTCCATTAATTATTGTAATGGTGTATGTGTGTCTGTGGATCTTAATGGAATGCAGATGTCTTCATTGTTTTTCTGATCCCTTTGATGTAGCAATGAACGGAGTTGCAGTTATTCTAGGGCATAATTTTGTCTCCATTGCTTTCTAGTCACTGTATGGTCATCCCTTCTTTGCTTTCCAGCCTGGAGAAGTTTAAAACACTAAGAATCCAGAAAGCGGTGGTAGGAGGGAAGGGGGAAGCTCTTAAAAGATTCGTACCACCTAGTATATTTAAACGTGTATTTAAGTATCAGTTGAACAGGTTTGCCCACTATTTCTTGTCACTTTAGTGGTATGCTGCTCTCCTAAACGTCACGCAAATTGTACTGTTTAAGCCAAAGAAGACCTTGAGAATTATGCTGTAGAAACAGATGTATTTCCAGTTCTTATAACTCACCAACTACAGAATATCCATAGCATAACTGAAGATGTGCTTTCAATTTTTCTTTTAGGTTTGTAAAGTTCCATGCATGAGTTCTCTAAGTCTTCAGTCACACTATCGTGGTGTAAAGCATAAAAAGGTAACCTTTTTCCATATTAACTGTATATGCAAATTTAATCATAAAACTGGGATTCTTGTAAAGTTCAGAAATTGATTTCCGTGACTTCAAGTGCTTATCTTACTTATTGGTAGATCTGTAACAGTAATTTGCTTGAAAAATCCCAAGAAAAAGATGAGGTGGAAATCTCACAACTCTGTTTTGACCAGCATGTAACTTGAAACATCAACCATACCTAAAGGTAAATGTGTGTTAATTGTGAAATTAACGTTTGAATTACGTGTAAGTCACAGATGGTGAAAGAATGCAAACTTCTGGGTTTTGATACAGTCGGTAAAAGTACTGCTCTGTTTTCCAAGTCTACATAACTCATCTGTACTTTGAATAAAACTAGCTTACTTGTTACTTTGACAGTAACATCAATTCAGATTTTGTGCAGGAGTTACATAGGCTTAACTACCTAGTCCTATGGTTCTGTGTGTTTGAAGCATCTCAATAACAACTTCCTGGTTTACTGCCTTTGTGTGTTTGTACTTAAATTATTAGACAACGTTTTGTGAGGGTGTATTTAGAGATACGGCTTTTATAAATGTTGTTTGATGGAACTTTTGACTGTTGATTGGCTAATGATTATCTTTTGTTTAAAACTCCACACTCAGCCTATGAAGTTGAGACATACTCAGTTGTACTTTCCTCTGTTACTTAGGATTGCTGTCATCAGATTGTATTGTTGTGGCACTGAAGTGCGTGCTCTGATGTTTCCTTAATGACATTTTATTCTTCCTGGAACACCAAAGACTAACTGCAATACTGTCTTTCTCAAGTGTTTGTGTGCCCCTTTTCTTTCAGTTGTAGATGAGGGGCATCTCCCCACCTCTTTGTTCTCAAGACAGATTAATAGTGTTTTTTTTACCTGTTTGCTGATCACTTTAATAGCATTGACTTTTGTGTCAGTGGCTCTGCTTCGTCCAAACGCTTCCCCCCCCCAGGATTCAGTCTTCTTGTTCCCTGATGATCCAATAGAAGTGTGCAGTAATGTAGTATTTTTCATGTCCTGCCAAATGTTCTTGCTTATGCAAGGAGTTCCTTTGGTTTTGTGGTTGTTTCTTTTTATTTCCTAGCTAAGCTTCATAGCAATCCAGTTATTGCTTTTTCTCCCTTTTAAAGTGGAAAAACTAGTGATTATTAGCAAATCTGCATGTAGTTTTCCTTCTGTTTCACTCTGAGAAATCAGTGTACACTAGGCTACATCTGTCAAAGTTTATGAGTTAACAAAGAACTGCAAACTGATAGGGAACGAGAATCGGGCAGGTTGAAAATGGGATGCTTAAATGTTAGTGCTGGTGTGTAGAGTCCTGGTAAGTCACATGACTGCATTTCTGTAGGGATAACTTTCCAAGATCGTGTCATCATTCTTTTCAGTTACCTCTGATTTCTCCCTTTAAATTATGAAATTTATTGTATGTTTTGGCAGAAGATCAGAATTTATTGCGTTATCTCGGGAAGTTTTTGTATGACCAAGCTTGAAGTAACTGTGGAAGTCCTGAGCTTATGTTCCTTTTTGATACAGGCTAGGTGTTGATAGTGAATAGCTCTTAGTTTATTCCTTACTAGAGGAGTTCCTGCTCAAAATAATACCAAAGGATGTCCTGACAACATAACAAAATGAAGAGATGATAGTTCTTTACCTAAATCGTAACACTGGCCAACCCACCAGCCATTTTTTACGACTTTAGTCAGATTACTTTTTTTTTCTTTTGGCTACCCATTTGTTTTTAAAATGGCATTGGTAAAGATACTTCGTGCTTGTCCTCCACCGGGGAAGTTTCAAAAACACAAGAAATAACCCTTCATCAGGAGAAGGACAGTCACTGGGAAAATTCAAGAAACAAAGTAAACACTTGCTACATGTGTGAAATGATTCTCATTTCATTGGTCTACATTTCCTATAGCTATTCAAAATAAAATGCGTTATTTCGAGTAGCTGGTCGAGTAAAGCTTGACTATCTGACAGATTTGTAGGAATACATCAGTTGACTTCTTGTGTACATGGTTATTGTATCTCTTTCTTTTTGGTCACCTGGGTAGTTTGGGTTTTCTGGATTTTGGATAGGTTCATAAGATATTTATCTAGATTACTTTGGTATACCTTTGTTTCATCTCTATACATTGATTGGTTTGTTCACCTGTATATCGTTACCATTGACTCCTAAACAATAGCATCAGAATGCATAATTTCTTTAAAAGAGGCCACCTCACAAACATCTAGGCATACTTCTTAGATAAATTGTACCAAATGCATTGCTTCCATAAAACTAGGGAGATTTTTATTAGTGACCTATGTATAAAGAAAGAATGAAAATAACTTTTTTTTTTTTTTTTAAGAAATCTAATTCATATGTGCTATGCTCCTCAGACTCCAAGAATATTGCTTTTGATGAGTTAGAGAGTTTTAGGATGTTTTTCCTGTACTGACTCTCAATCTGGGTGTTTGAACTCACAGTGCCTAGACTCACTTGCTGCTGGAGGGGAAAGTGTAAATAGTATCTGCCTCTTCATGGCAGCTTAGGCAGACTACTCAGACTTGTTATAAATTGGACAGAAGTTTATCCAGAATACTTTGTTACTTCCAAAACTAAAAGAGAATAAGCCTATACCTAAAGCCTTCTGGAATTCCTCTGACTGTGTTGGAGGCTAATAATTTGGTGCATTAAACTGAGTCTCTGTTCTTAGAAGAAAGGGAGTCCTGAGTTTTCATTTGTATTTTCATTTCTACATTTGCAGGCTTAATGCTTGGTAACCCACTGGATTGATGTGTGATTGATTTCAAGGGATAGAAATAGATTGGATGACACATTGCATCATAAAATAGAAGTAATTTAAAAGTATTTCAAGCAAATGATTAGTAGTGCAATGACTTTCTTCGTAGTTTGTTACTAGATTAGGTTTTATTTGAAGCCTTTTCCATTTGCACTTTGAAGTTTATGTGAATATTTTTTTCCGAACAAGACTCAGAGTAGGGGCTTTAGTCAAATAATAGATGATCAGTTATCTAATTAGATAAAATTGTTGCTACTTGCATTCTGTGATGTATGAAACTTAAACATAGAAGTTCTCAAGTCTTTGAATGCTTAATTTACAAGATACTAGGTAATATTTTAATTCTATGGTGAACCTCTTCAGAGTTCATTTAGTGTCTATCCCTGAGAGTTGTTTCTTTGTTGTGCCAAGAGTTTGTATTTCTTTCTGACTTCAGTGTTTGTGACTATGATGCTTTCTGTGTCCTTGAACTGGAGCTTGAGTAATAAGCAGAATACACATCTAATTTTTAATAGCACTCATAACTCATGAGACCAAACCCCTGTAAAAAGTACTGATGGACAAAAGATTGTGGGGTTGGGATGATCACAGTACAAGGCTGTGTATATCTTGTGCATTGAGTACCTTATGACCTCTGCATAGTTGCCTAATGATGGGGTTTTGTGGTTTTGTTGCTGAATAGATATTGATGGGGGGGTGGAAAAAGACAAAATGGTGTTCATACATGTGCATGTAGTTCTTAGCTCTTTGGAAATTGGAATTGGCTTGTATTACATACTTTGAAAAACAAAGTTGCATATTACTTTTAGCTGTTACGGTAAAATGGTTAGAAAACTACATTTCCATAAGTTTACTAACGCTTTTCATTGAACCAAGTCTATAAGAGTAATGGGAGATATAATGCATGAAAGGTGGGTTTGGGTTTTTTTGACAGCTGAGTAAAAAGCTAGGCCCTTTGAGGGAGCAGTCCCCAAATAATTAAAATATACCTGCTGTGCATATATCTGGAATATGGTGGTATGTGATATATTTTATTCTGGTTTTGCAAATATGTGTTAGCTGTATTGCTCAGTTTTAGAGAGGAAATCCTAGAGTGGAATGTCTTTTTTCCATGTATTTTGAACAGCCCTTTGCAGGTATGGCACCAGCAGAAGAGTGTTGCCTCTTCTGTGAACTGTATTTGGAGCAGAGACAAGATTGTTGTGGTTCTATTAAGGGTTCAAGGCTTCTTGCCCTCCCTTCATAACTGGGGATAGATAGGGTAGAAATGACTACTATGTTCCAAAAGGAGAGGAATCTGCATTCAGGACTCTGCAGCCTCATTAGAAACAAGGAATATTCAGATCTGTGAAGGGCATTGTTAGTTTTTGTCTTCACCATTTCAGTGTTCTCATTTCTGCTATACCTCTTGCCCCAGTTGATGTGCATCAGAACCTGTGGTTGAAAATACAGTTACAGGAGAATTGCCTTGTTGTTGCATTGTTTGTGTTTGGTCTCAAAAAGCATGCTGTTACTTTCTGCAGCTTACCTTCATGATCCAAAGAGGCTTAAACTGTAGAGCTTTTCTTTTAAAAAAAACAAACTTGATTGCTTAGTATGAGCTTGAAGAACTAAAGTAAATAGAATTTCTGTGTATGGGCTGCTAACATCTAGCTGATATGATTTTAAGAGTGTATATATTTAGGAACAAATTATGTTTACATAATACATAACTATGCATGTGAAACTGTTTTGTTAGATAACCTGTGAACTTGAATTCTGTGGAAAACTAATTACGCAGTAGCTCTTACAGATTACAGCGTGTATGGGAAGTTTGAACCCTAAAAACCAGCGGTTTTTGAGTTTTGACTTTTCAAAGTTAGACACTTTGTTAAAAGTTACCCTAACTTTTCATAGTCTTAGCTCAAAACCAGCTGTTGCAACTTGCTTGCAACACATGACCCAGGACAGAGAGTAAGTTCCTTGCCTAATGTGTGAGAATCTTCATTCCTGATGTAGTTTTGGGTTTTTTGCTTCCTGCTTTTTTTTATTTAAAGAAACCTCAAGGAGGGGTCACAAATAAAATGGACCCCTTAGGTTCAGTTGTGGGACTTCATTTCTAATACTAATAAAAGCAGTAATCCGGGTGCAATCAAAGTCAAAGTTGATTGTCCAAAAATGGTCAGGAGGAAATTCTCTTTGAGCAGCAGCTCACAGTTGCTAATGTTTTCTTCACTTGTCTGAAAAGTTAGGTATTAGCAGTTGTTTGTTGTAGAACTCTGTAGAAGGACAAGTACCAAAACCCCTTGCGACAGCATAACCACAAGGGACACTGTGTCTGTATTCTAAGCTTATAAAATCCTGCTGAGCTCATACTATACCACCCACTACCTGTGGTGATACTGGGACTTAGGTAACTTCTTTTTTTAGAACTGCTATGAAAGAACAGCTATTTGGCTTCTTAAACAATTAACTATTGTGTCAGTCTTGCTTCCTGTTGAATTGTCAACATGGATGTGCAGCATCTCTTCCATGCCACTGAATACTGAAAATATAGCACTCAACTCTATGGACTGCACTGGGCAGACAGCTGCTTTACTGGTAGAATGATCATGCTTATTTCATTCTTGTAAATGGCAAGTTTGTGTTTATTTGCCAAAAAATTCTCAAAATGAGTCAGGATTGTTTTAGGCGTGTTCTGAAATGGAAATTTAAGTTCCTCTTTTCCTTAGAATCTGCCAAAAAGCAATCTGTTTGGATTCAGCTGATGAAAACCACTTTTCCTGTTCTTCAAGATATGAATGAACTTTCAGGAGATTTGGCTAGCCTTAAGGTTTAGCCAAATCCACTCAAAATGGTGGGGGGGCTGCTTTTTGTTAGTTGGTTTTTCCTTTTGGGGTGAGTTTTCTTTTTAGTTGGAACTACAATTTTTGAAAACTCAGGAGCTGTAATCATGCAGAACTCGAGGTTTTGTCTGGCATCCTTGATGTTGTGTTTCAAGCCATAATCATCTCTTAAAACTTCAGTAATAACAGAGCTTTCTTGAAATTAACCTTGTATTAACTGTAAGTACACGTTTGTCAGTACTTCCAGCTTTTGCAGAAAATGATAAAGGCTCTAATTTTTCCTATTTGATAATGGAAACTTTGGCCTGTAGTGTAATTCATCTGCAAAGGCTTCTCAGGAAGTACAGGGTTTTTCCTTCAAATGGTGCAGCACATTAATTTCTTTTTCTTATTTTATTTTGGGATGACTTGCATCTTCATAATTAAAGAAAGAGAAAGCCCTGAGACCCGAGACTGTCTATTGTAAGTATAACACTTTTTTCTTTCCAGCCTCCTAGGATAGGTATTGCTTGGGGATTTTAATGTTTGTTACTTTTCTAGTAGTTCAGGTATTTGCATTTGCCAGATTTATGTGTCTATAACTGTGTTTCTCTTTATATGCTGAACATTCTTCTGAGATTTCCATCTAGTGAACTGCTGAGCTAAGAAATATTTTAGAGCATGAAACCTTAATTATGCCTTTCCACATCTAAATATTTGTATATCTGTCTAGTAGAGGGATGGATAGTCAGTATTTTAGTTTCTTAGCTGCCCAGGCTAAACCGTCTCCTACTTGTCTGTCAGCTTTATGCACTCATTGCTAAGCTTCAGGCAGTATGGTAAGAAGCTAAATCAGCAGGCTAACACAGCATTGTTGCACATGCAGCTCTACCAGTGCTGGAGTTGCCTAGCTGTACCACAGGAATGTTCTGCCTCTCTTTATTGTAGTGGACTTGGAGTAGCAAAGACCTATTGAAGGTAAACTCAGTTGTTGGGGCATCTTTTCCTCCAGAAGCTGAGAACATGAATCCAGGCTGTCGTATGTCAATGAAAACAAGAGTTGTAGTGAAAGGTTGAAAACGTGGGATATAACTAGCTCACGGTGGAAATGGAAGTCTTGTTGTAAAGGCACTGATGGTGACATACAAGATTTTCAAAGTACAGGAAGCAGAGAACATTGGCAGGTATGGGAATACAGATAAAAACCAATGAGCAGATTAAAAACCAAAATGGTTATACAGTCAGTCATCACAAGAAATAAGCGTTTTGCTTCTACTTTATTTTCTTAGCCTGGCCTCTTAAGAAACAAGGCTTACATTCTGGCTTTGTCATCTGTTCTCCAGTATCTTTTGAATCTCTCAGCCTTTTTGAACCAAGTTGATCAAGGGTTCCTGAAATTACACATCTGCACAGAGAAGAGAGATGGTATCAATCCTCTGCTGAGGGAAGTGCTGCAGACTGAGCTCACTACTTACTGGATCCTGAAGAATCAACACAAGAGAAAGACTTAGAAAAGCACTGGTCAGAGTCCATTGTCGAAGAGACTGGGCTTCATTAGCTGCTCTCGTGGTTTGCTGTTGACAAGAGAATATCAGTGCAAGACATGTCATTCAAGTATGTGAACAATTATGAGACATTTTGCCTCAGCAGACATGAGTACTGCGTGTAGATCTTCTCTTTTTAGAAATACTGGTAATGAAGCTCCTTGACAGAATTTCTGCAAAAGTTCTGAAACATACAGGTCTCCTCGAAATCCAGTGAATTTGAGCAGACCAAAATTCCTCGGCAACAACAATAGATTTATTTGGCTATGGGCTAGTGCTTTTAGTGGAAGACAATTTCTAGAGATTTCTTTGTATTTCTTGTCAGAAACGGTCACTAGAAGTAATACTCCTTAACTGAAGAAGTTCTTGCTTCAAGGCCATGAAATCTTGTTTTGGAGGAGTAATGTAAAGGATGCATGGGACAGAAAGTGAGATGAATAAGAGGACAGGAGGTGTGGCAGCAAGACTGTAAAAAGAGTGGTGGAATACAGGAGCCTGTTGCAAAGACGTATGCCTTTAGAAAACAGTACTGCTTAATGTACTACAAGCTCAGCATTTCATGGAGAATTCAGGTTAAGAAAGTATGTTCATTATAAACACTGCATCTCTGGAAATGTCATGGGTTACATCGCAGTTAAAAGAGTCTTTCTTATAGAATGAGAAGAGATAAGTTAAAATACCTGATTATTAAAGTGAAGAATCTAGACATGAAATTTCGGTAAAGAAGTTAGAGCTAACTTCTGGTGGAGTCCCAGCATCACAGGGTACCACATGTCAGAAGCATTGCAAGATGTGCTTTCATCCAGAAAGTTCTGTGTCTCAGCAATCATTGTGAAGCAATCAACATCTTTTACTTCTAATATGAAATGATTATTCATACTATTGATGTCTCCTTTATTCTACTTTATTCATATTGAATTCTGCTTCACTGAAGATCCAGACGTGGGAGGCAAATTTGCAAGCCACTGTTAGGGTTTATTTGTCCAAAAGAGGCTGAAATTTGGCCTGATGAAGTTTATTTGTATGTTTTAGTTGTGTTGGGGTTTGTTGGTTTCTTTCAGGTAGAAAAGCTTTCCACCTGAGTAACTTTTCGAAGATGGCAATTCAGATTTCACTTTGGGAACTGCAATGCAGAATTATGTATTCAATATATATGCAGAACTTCTCGAAACTTTCCCATGGATGTTACTGATTATACAAATAATTCTCCCCCAAGAGCCAGCAGATCCAAGAAATTCATTGTACTTTGTCACTGAGATACAAGAATAAATTCTGAATTTGCTTGGCCTTTGTTTTTTCATTTTAAATAGTTGATTATTTTTTCTACAGTTTGCAGATGTATATAGTAAACATGAACAAGAATTATATTGCATTTGTGGAGTAAAGTAGTGAAGTCTTGTGAATGAGCATGGAAAGTATGGATATTCTTAAATTAGGTGCACTACGTAAAGTATGAGTCTAGTGTTATTTCAGGATATAAATTAATGAGATGCTTCTGTCATTGCTGCTGGATCTGCAATCTTATTCTAATGCTTGTGCTATCCAGTACTCCAGTGAGAGTGAAATGTGGCAGCATTTCACAGAGCTGGAGTTCAAAGAGCCGGGAACAAAAAAGTATGGATGTTATCAAAGTGAAGGGTGAGTTTTCTTGGAAATCACTTGGGACAAAATCTGACAAGTATCTGAAATGTACAGTGTCTAAAGAAGAGCAAGTACTTCAGAGGATGCGGTTTGACATATTTAAAATGTTTTACGCCAACATCTGCAATTTCTTCCCTGCTGCAGAATTAAAAAAAAGTTTCTTTGTCAGTAGGGAGAACACCACCAATGCTGCTATCATTTGTAAACCAAAATTAAAAAAGACAAATGATTTTGATTCTGAGTGTTTTCAAATGGGACATGCCATGTATAGTATCCTCTGTGAACTCATCAAAGGTAACTGTTGATAATGCAGAAGTGATGACCGTGAGTAACCTGACTGTTTAACTGTACAATCTTGTTGGCTTTGAAGTCAGTTAAGTCAGGAAGTTCATCTGTTGCCAGATGATTGTGTTTGGAGGCATACCATTTTCTGTAAGAAAGACATGTGGATACCATGTGAGTTTCCATATGGCAAAACCTATCAACAAGTTATTTTTGTGGTAATGGCAGAATCGGATATCTGGGGTGGTTTTTTTGCGTGCTCTCCAGCAGTTCAGAGGAGAGCAACTTAATGGAAGATGTGGGAAGAGAAGATCCTGAAATTCTAGGACTTTACTAAGAGAGTTAAACCAAAGCTCAGTTAAGTATGTAAATTCTAGTTGTGATTTTGTTGTACAGTGATAGAATTGGACAGATGGAAGACTTTTTTCAGCTCTAGCTGAGGCAGTTGCACGTACTTGTTCAGGGATAAGGAGGGGAGGAGATTGAACATTACTTTCTTTCCTGGCACCTTTTGCCCAAAGACAAGTTTGGAAAACTTTTTACTTTGAGCAAGGAACATTAAATGGTGGGGGAATGCCAATATAGTTGTTAGGCAAATGTTCCCTGGGCAGTAGCAAAATCCAGTGGTTTACTACTAAAACAAGGCAGCTCAGCTAGGAGGCATAGTATGGAGTATGAGCCCTATTAAACCATTTCTGGGCTGCCTAGCTTTATTGGTGAAATTAATTTGGCACAAAGAAGAGTGTATTAATGGAATTTTTTTGCACAGCCTATGGAATTTTTCTTGTATTGCAGTTAGCTTGCAGTACTTCTCTTGCAATGATACAAATGAAAAGTGTAATAAGGGATGTTGTAGGTGTTTAGTTGCTGGATCTAGCAACCTGCATCTACGTTCTTCAACTTAAAATCTTTAAGTAGCACCAGGAGTAAAGAAAGCTTCATTGTAGTCATTCTGTAAAGCATGGCGTCAAGGGGAAGAATTGGATCTGAAGATAAGCTGCATTTATTTAACAGCACTGACTACAAGTTCTTTCTGCAGTGAAAGCACAAATGTCATGTAGTCTGCCTTGAGTTCACCAATAACAACCTTATCAATATCCTGATCACTATTTTGGCTTTATGATACAAGATAAATTTATTTAACATGTCCCTCCATGCTCAGTGTCTGTCAAGCATTGATTAGTATGCCTGAAGTTTTGGGGTGTAAAACTACTGTTACCTTTTCAAAGAAAGGAGACCTGGAAGTTCTTTTGAGTTACAGACTAGAAGAGAAAATGTTTCAGAAACCATAATAACAGAAGTACTAAGACTGAACACTACTCCAACTCCTTTTCCACTTCTCTCTTGGGGAGTTCCCCCATAAAATGGAATATAGAGTCTTTGTGTACTTCACCTCTTGTATTCAAAAGTGAATTTGCAATGCTGAGTCCAGTACCTCTTTGTTCCTCTGAGTAACTGGATTGACAGTGTCTGAAACTGTCCTTAAGTTTTGAAACATAGCTGTTTTATTTCTGGCAGTCATTAGGAATGTGTGTTCATTACAAATACATGTATAGATGTAAAAGGTGGAGAACAAAGAAATATGTTCAGCTTTGTGTCATTGAATATTGAAAGGAAAGGGATTTTTTTTGTTTGTTTGTATAGATAACTAGTATCTGGAAAATATCCCTTACTAAATAAATTCATTAGTTGGAAGGGATTTCCTGAGACTGAATAGGTGCTTTTCTACTTCCTGATTGAAGCAGGACTACTGCCAGTGCTGGATCATCACCTGCTTACTGAAGCCTTGGACATCTCCAAGGGCAGAGAGTCTGCTACCTGTGTTTAATCAGTCTGTAGTTGCTCCTCTGTCTTAAAGACGAATTTTATCCTAACATCTAATGTGTGCCCCTAAGCAACTATTTCTGGCTGCTACTTATGCTGTTGTCACATCCCCAAAGGGTTTGACTCATCTTTGTAGCTGCTGTTCAGTTATCCATGTTATTAGATCTCCTCTTAGCTTCCACTTTACCAGACTAAACAAGTCCAGCTCCCAACACTGTTCTCCTAAGTTATTTGCCCTGGGTTGTTTATCTTGGTAGCCCTTCCGCTGGACCATCTCCGATTTCTCCACATCCCACTTGAACTGGAGAAGGGTGGAAGTAGATTGCCTCACAAGTCCCAGATTATGGAGGATAAGACTTTCTGAAGTATACTGCCTGTGCAGTATCTCAGTATGGAGTTTGCCTAGTTTATGGGAGACATGCTTTTGGCCAATATTCAGTTTGGCATTCATCATAACTCTGAGGTTCTTTTTGACGGTGTCCCTGCTCAGTCAGCCAGATCCCAGCCTGTACTTGTGAACGGGATTGTTTCAGCTGCAGAACTCTACACTTACAATGGTTCTTAAGGTTTCTTTAATCCTTAATGTTCCCAAGGTCCTGTTCAACTGAAGCTGTGACACCAGTTATATCCCCTAAGCTACTACTGTCTGTGAATTTGCTGAGGGTGTTCTATGCATCCTCAACCAGGTTATTGATGATGATGTTAACTGTTGTGGGCCCTGGAATCAGTCTGGGGTACTCTGCTGCTTACTGAACGCCAAGAGGCTGGGCTGTTGATCGTTGCCCTTTGAGCCTGGCAGTCCAGCTGATTTTTAGCTCATTGGTCAGTGTGATATGCTTTAAGGGAGAATACTGTTGTGTTTTGGTTTTGAGATGCTTAAGAAATATAACTTAACATTATTAATAGCATTATGAAGCCATGTGGCTAGTAAATGTGAATTAAATGTTAGCCTGGAAACCTGCTGTTGCTGAATGGGAGAGTGTCTTCAAGATTGTAATTGCTTTGTTAAACTTTTGCAGGCAGCAATGATAATATTTGCTAAATGCCTTTTTTTTTTGTCAAACCCCCCCCCCCCCAACCCCCAAAATGCTACCTTTGGTGATAGTAGCAGCTACAACTTGATTTTTAACTTGACCATATCTGTAAGTCTCAACCATGTTAAGGCAGACTGCAGTGTGAACTGCTTCTGGTGCAATTCTCTGCAAATACAATTTGTTCCTAGAAGTAAACAGAAAATAAAGGACTGAAAATCTTATTTCACAAGTACCTATTTGTGTCATTTAGCATTTGGCCATGTTGTCAGTCTGCAGATGCTGGACCTGGAATCTAACTTGGACTTGAGGCATTAACTGAACAACTCTGGAATCAAGTAATTTTTGTACTTGCAGAGTACCTGGAGCTCTTTTGTTCATGCTACCAGAGACTTTGAAGCTTTTTACTGAAAAAGATGGATTATTTATTGTAAGAAATCAAGGGAGATATGCTTTCTCATACCCCTCCTGTATGCTGATATTGCAGAGTTGTTTGCAAAATGTTTACAACTTTGATTTGATTTTACAGCTTTGATACCTGTCTCTTAACTGCCTGTCTTGTGCAGAAAGAGGCAAAAACCATTGATGTATACAACATGTATTTGCCATGACTATGGAAAATTTCTTCACTTCAAAAATAGGAATTACATGAGTGTATATGTAGTTAAACTTTCACTCTTTCCAGTAAATGAGTACTGGTGTGTCATCTTGTTTTAATCATGAATGCTGCAACTTAGAAAATACTGAGAACATTTTTAAAGTGCACTTGTGGTGTGTCTGTGTCTATGGATTTGAGGGAAGAGGGGGGCAAGGGAAAGAAGTTCCAAAGGAAGGGAATGGAAGTGGCTTTGCAAAATCACATCTAAAACTTCACTCTGAAGCTCTGAGTGATTAAGAATATATGCAGAACCCTATGTAAAAGAAGATGCAGTTTAATGATTTTATGAATTGTCTCTGGGATTGTGTTTAGGCTCTAAATGTTTAAACCAGAAGTTTTCTGTTAGGTACCTGTAACACAGATTGACTGTCATGCACAATACTGCATAGTTAAAATAATTAAAATAACTAGGCAGTATGAAGAGCACTTAAAAATCAAATAAAATTTTAACTTCTGTGACATTCATGTGTTTGGTGTATTGTGTTAGTGGGGAAGGGGAGTGGAAATGAAGACTTTTTCTTGCTTAGAGCAGTAAAGTTACAAAAGGAAAGTGTACCAAGATGGAATACTGCTATTACTGACCCTATATTAAACTAAAATGAAGATAACTGTTCAATTCTCTAACTTGTTTGGATAATCTACTAGGTACTTAATAAAAGTAAGTGAGAAGAAGTAGACTGACTGTCAAACTATTATCCTAGGTCCTCCAGATCCGGTCCAAACTCCGATGAAGTATGAAACACAGAGACCAGGTAGCTGCATATAAATGAGCTAATGTCCTTTTCAGGTGCAACTTGGAAATCAGTGGTTTTCTTTTAAGGATGGCCAAAGCAGGTTGTTGATTATGGTTTAGGAAGAAGCAATGCAAGTTACCAAACATTTGAACCATTGCTTTTCTTTTGTGCACTGGTTAATTTATGTAAGAAAAGATTGTAGGAGAATATGAAGCTACAAGTATTTTTACATAAAGACGTGCAAACTTGAGGCATAGTTTCTGTCTTCCAGTTCATCTGATAACATCTGATATCAATTAATCTAGCTAATGTTTTTTTAGCCAGTGATACAGTGAAGGTTCGACAAAACAAAAGCATATAAACCAGGAACAGTATGGGTTGTTTATTATCAAGATGATACTAAGACAAGAATATTTATTTGTATGTTAGGAAGCAAGAAGAAAATAGCCGTTATCTTGTAGAGACCTTTAACTTTTTTCTGCATGGATCTTTCCATATTAAGCTCAAAAGACCACATGCCTTTCATTGTCAGCTTGGGAACAGCCAGCTCACACTGAGAGCTACTGCACAGGCACATAAATGCACGAGAACTGCATAATACATTTAAGCGTTGGTAAAAATCTGTCTATGGAGATTGATTATGTGGCACCAAGTTGTTACATATCGACTCTCACATTATGCTACTGCTGCATGTCACCTCAGACAAAAAACAAAACAGCAGAGAAAGATTTTAACAAGATTGTGAAGTTTTGGAGGGAGTGGGCCACACTGTTCCTGTGGCAGGAGGTGTCCCATCAGGTATTTTCTACCACAATTAAATTGCAAGAGGTTTTCCGTATAAATTAATGCTAAACTTTGTGAATTTTTTTTTTTGTGTGTGTGCAGCCCTGGAGTTTGACTTGATGGCAGCACAAGCATATTCCTAATGGAATAAATATTTAAGAACAAGCACAGAATTCCCTATCCTTCTGAAGTTTTGTTTTTTTTCTTAAACCATAACGTGGCATCCTAGGGGGAAACAGTAACAGTTCAGTACTTGTGGTATTTCTACTCTTTGGCTCCGATTTGAAGAAACGAGCAGTGTTTATGACTGTTATGAAATTCATCAGTCAGTAAAAATACAGCTGTATGTAATTAGGAAGATGAGTTCTGTTTCTGCACATTTTTTTCTCAGATTAAAAATATGTATTTCAACACTTCAGCATGCTCTTTTATAATGGTCAACACTTGAATATGCTTGCAGATACATATAGCTGAACTCTGCTGGTGCTCTGAGTTGACCAGGAATACTTCAAAAGTGTTTTAGGTGGTGCAAAAACCAAGCTATTCAAACTCAGTGAGGAGCTAGATACAGCCCTGATTGACATACTGCTAGTTCAGACTCAGGAACATACTAACTGGGGTTGTGCAGCTTCTGGTCTGCCCAGAGTACCAGAGGCATTTGCTATATTAGTGAAGATTATGTGTTCTTTATTAGACTTAAGGCAATGATTCCTGAACTTCAAGACTCCAAAAAAGCAGTCTTAGTATGCTATACGAGTATTAGTGTTTTAGGGGAAGGAGGAGGTTGGTGGCTTGGCTTTTTTTTTTTTTTTTTTTTTTTTAACATGAGAATTGACATTGGGGCATGCTATGAATGTGACCTTGGTATCTTTCCTCAGTAAATTGGATTGTGTTAGAAGGTCTGTTTTGCTTATTTGATTTTCTTCTTGAAGACATTAATTCCTTGCATGTAAAATTGTTCTGGAAAACAGAGAGTGTCGGAATCTCTTTGTGAGCGACTGTGATCTTGTGCATTTTCTTTATGCGTTTCAGAGTGCAAATTAATTTTGTCCCCCTTAAGTCTCTGTTAGAAACTCCTTTAAGATCATAGAAATTATGTGCAAACTGTCAAATGTGTAATATCTCTTTATCTGCATATTTTTTACTTCAGTGAAGAGAGGACTCACAAAGGACATAACCTGTCTGAAGGATTTTATGAATGATCCCATAAGAGATGAACCGCTAGTTGGTATGTTTTTTTGTTTTCTAAACGGTATGTCTTTGAATTTGTGACCAAAAGGCTTTTATTTTGAAATAAAAGGTGGAATTCTAGATATTGTTTCATTTTCTGTAAGTGTATTGAATAATTTATAGGATTTATCTTCTCTCTTACACCTTCTGAAGTTTAACTTATTACACTGAGTACTATAAAGGCCACCACTTTTATACACCTTAATTGTTAAGACATCTCATTTTGTGAAGAAGCCATCTTAGTAAAGAAGCTTTGCACAGATCACGGAATGGTTGAGGTTGGAAGGGACCTCTGAAGGTCATCTGGTTTTAACCCCCTGCTCAAGCAGGGTCACCCAGAGCAGGTTGCTCAGGACCATGTCCAGACAGCTTTTGAATATCTCTAAGGTGGGAGACTCCATGACCTCTCAGGGAAACCTGTACCAGTGCTCAGTCATCCTCACAGTTTCCTGATGTTCAGACAGCATCTCTGTGTTTCAGTTTGTGCCCTTTTCCTCTTGTCCTGTCACAGAGCTCCACTGAAAAGAGCCTGGCTCCATCTTCTTTACACCCTCCCTTCAGGTATTTACACATGCTGGTGAGATCCCCTTGAGCCTTCTCCAGGCTAAACAATTCCAGCTCTCTCAGTCTTTCCTCATAGGAGAGATGCTCTGGTGCCTTCATCATCTGCATGGCCCTTCTCACATCCATATCTCTTGTACTGGGAAGCCCAGAACTGGACACAGCACTCCAGGCACGGCCCTACTGGTGCTGAGTGGAGAGGGTGGATCGTGTCCTTCAGCCTGCTGGCAACACTCCTCCTCATGCAGCCCAGGATACCCTTGGCCTTCTTGGCCACAAGGGCCCATTGCTGGCTCGTCTTCAACTTGGTGTCCACCCAGGTCCTTCTCTGCCAAGCTGCTTTCCAGCTGCTCAGCCCCCAGCATGTACTGGTACCTGGGCTTGTTCCTCCCCAGGTGCGGGACTTCGCACTTCACCTCGTTGAACTGCATGAAGTTCCATCAGCCCAACTGCCCAGCCTGTCGAGGTCCCTCTGGATGGCAGCACGACCCTCTGGTGTATTGACCACCCCTCCCAGTTTTGTATCATCAGCAAACTTGCTGAGGGTACACTCTGCCCCATCATCCAGATCATTAATGATGTTAAACAGGACTAGACCCAGTATTGACCCCTGGGGTACACCGCTACCTACTGGCCTCCAGCTGGACTTTGTGCTACTGGTGATGTGTCCTCTGCTGATGCTTTGTGGTTTTCCATTTTGTGGGATATACAGGTGTTTCTGTTTAGTGAGGTATTTTTCCTCACTGTTTTTGGGAATACTGAAAGTAACGAGATGAATTTTAAGGTTTTCTTTCTAATTGCTACATTAGACAACCCTTAGGACAGGATAAGCAATGCTGCTTGTCAGTGGCCTTAGTGTTCCTAGTATGTGCTGGTGGCCTAGAAGACTATGTTCCCTGATGAAGACCTGTAGCAAATTCCCAGTATTAGCAGAGAATTTCTCTGGTTAGTGAATTGTCTTGCTGTTACTCTCCATACAGTATTAATTTAAAAAAGTGTAGCAATTTATTATTATAAGCATTTTTAATAGAAAAAGGTGAATAGCAAAGTGTTACTTTCTTGTATACTCAGTTCATTTGGTGATAGTTTATTTTTGGACTTAAGATTTAGCAGTATTACACCGTAGTGAGTCTGAGTGGAGCTGAATTTCTTCATAGCAGCATGTATGATTTGGATTTGTGACTATAAAACAGTGTCGATGACATACCAGTGTTTTGGCTTTAGCGGAGCAGTGCACAACCTCAGGACTTTTTTTTCACTCTGGATCCCCAGCCTTCAGCCCTTGAGTAGGCTGGGGGTGGGCAAGAGATTGGGAGGGGATGCAGCCAGGACAGTTGACCCAAACTGGCCAGAAGGATATCCTGTATGGCATAATGTCATGCTCAGCAATCACAGTTGAGGTAAAGGAAGAAAAAGGAGGGGGACGGGGGGGAATTAGCTTCCAAGGTGACTGGTCAGAGACTGTGTGGGTATAGGTCTGCTTGTGGGGAGGTGAGTGACTGGTTTTCACATGTTTTGTCTTGGTGGTGTTTTTTTTTTTCTTCTCCCCCCCCCCCCTTTCCTTCACCTATTAAACTGTCTTTATCTCAACCCATGAGTTCTCTGACTTTTGCTCTATTTTCTCCCTATCCTGCTGAGGGGTGTGTATGTGAGTGAGCTAGAAGCTATGTGGTGCTTGGCTGCTGGCTGGGGTCAACCCATCACAAATACACAGTATTGGAAATTATAATAATAGGGAACAGCTGCAGCTGCTCCTGGTTTGTTTTGAGCTGCTTATACACTCATTACATTTAAGCTGTTCAGAGTAAAACTTTTCATGCTAGGTATAAGCCTCAAACTTAGAGATTTCTGAATACTTCTAAAGCATAGTCTTTCAGTCACTTCTAGGAAAAATGAAGAAAAATGCTATTTTCATTTATGGAGTATTTTTAGATTATGAAGGACTCAATTTTGTGAAGTGATTATTGTCTTTCCTACATGTGCTTTGTGCTAATTGGACACTGTCCAAATTACATTTGACTAAGTAGTTTAAATGCATTTTTTTAAATCTAGACACTTACATGGCATTTCCTATTCTCATTCTCTTTTTTTATATGCACTTCTCCATGAATTCTCTTACATGACTGTATTGAATGGAAGGCTCTTTCTTAGTTTCTTGAAAATATCCCAGGCAGGAATAAAGGTACATGAAATATTTTATTTTGGTGGGCTTGCAAATCTGCCATAGACAGTGCTTTTCCTTCAGAATACAGCATTGTAAAGAGACAAATTTAACTGATGTGGGTAGTAAGTCTGAAGAAGTGTTGAAGTGATCCTGCAGAAGTGTTGAAATTCTGAAAATTGAATACTTTTATTTATTCATTTTGGTTTTTAATGAGCGACATTGAAGAGAATACATTTGTTTATATTTTAGTATACACTACTATAGATATTTGTAACTCTTGCTTTTACAGGTTTAGAACATGTGGTTGAAATCAGATTTGAAGGAAGAAAAGAGCCGCATTATGAATGCAAGCTGTGTGGGTTGAATACAGAGATGGCACCTATGATAGAACATCTTAGTGGATATAAACACAGAAGAGCATACATCGTGAGTAATTTTGATGCATTTTGATCACAATTTCTTTATGATACTCCCCTTTTATTTTTTTTCTACAAATAACTTGCGTCACGTTTGAAGTTAAACCCCCATGTGATAAATTGCTAATACTTGTATGGTTGACTCTTCATGGGTCAGATCAACGTGAACAGCTGTGAAGCTGTGAGCTGTTGAGGAATTGCATTCCAGAGGTATGTGTCTGTATCTGCTCAAAGTCTGTTCCTAAGTGTTTTGATTGCCTCCAAGATCAGGTTCCTAGAACGCTGTGGTTCCTTCTTATTCCTCAGCGTGCCCATAGCGTTGTTGGGTATGGTACAGAGCATGTTACCTTTTGGTAGCAAGCTTTGCATAGTATCCATTTTTTGTTTTGAAGGCTACTTAAGCAACTTTTAACATTAAAATTTAATTAGTTGTGTTACAGAGAAGAAACTAACTCATAATGTTCAATACAATGTTTACTAGTCTTTTGGGAGCTTGTCTGAAAGGTGAAATGTGCCAATTTTTTAATATTGTGATGAATTTTGATATTGACCATTTCAAGCTGTTTTTGTCAACAGTCTAAAGAATTTCCCGATAAAATGAAGAAAAAGAAAACAGATGTAAGAGAATGCAAAGTCTCATTTTTCAGACGGATAGCAGGAGAGCTAGAGAAGACTGAAGGGTTAAAAATGTATAAGGTAATTGGAAGTAAATGTAAAGTATCTGGTAATGTGTCTTTTATCAATGTATTTATGTTTGACCTAGTAAATTTTAAAAGTACTGCTGTCAAAGCTTGTTACATTTCTGTGTGTTTCTAGGAAATGTAGTATTAAATTGAACTAAGGCTTAACTTAAAGTTGCCCTACAAAATCTGGAGAAAAGAACAGTAGTATTGAAATTCGTTTGAAAAAACAAAGTTGTTTATTTCTAAGAAGTTAGGGTTTTTAGATAGAAAATGTCCAATCTGAGTTCAGTGTTTCAGAAATTTTACTGCTTTACTTCAATGATTTTTGCAACTTAAATTTTCTCAAAGGTAAGCAAATTTTGTCTCAAATTTCATTTATATTTAGCAGATTATGTACTTACAAAATTATGGGCTACATTACGCTGGGATAAATAAAAGTACTTGTTCTATTTCTAAAGGCAGTTGCATTAGAGACTGTTAGGAAATTTTGATCAGAAAATCTAATATGAAACTATTTCTATCCCTAGATCGAAGGTTACGTAAGACCAAGTACCTCACGTAAGTCTATGAATTACTTGAATGTAATAGATATGACGTAATTAATATTTGGCCTAATTTGAATTAGTAGCTGAACTCAAAGGGTTTGACTGATTTAAAACATTCAGCTTGTAATAGCACAAAATGTTTTCAGAGATTTTCCAGTTTTTGTGAATTCGAAATGAGGGAAGAAGGGAATTGCTAGTCATGCAGTGTTTCTTAGACATTTTTAAACTGCTTGGTTCTGGGTGTATTTAAGATAACTAGATTAACTAGTAATTTGCTAATCAAGGAAAGTGGAAAAAGTATGGAAAAATGGTATTTGATGGGTTTCTCTGAATAAGCTGATAAAGCCTTCTCCACCTCATTTCAGTCATCAAAAGACACACATGCTGAATCACTGGTAAAAGTGGAAGTTACAGTTCTTTAGCAAGTGCATTGAAACAAGCAACGGAAATCAAACCCTCAAACATAAAAACAGCATCTTCCCTCATATAGTATGTTTGAGTTATGTCCTTTGTTACTGTAGATGTGCTTTGATGCTTAACAATGCCAACCTGACGAAATACCTACTTGCTACCTTTTGACCCTAATATTAATATCAGTGGCAAGGTAGGTTTGATTGAAATGGGTGAAGGTTGCATAGATCAAAAGCGTTTGTCAGTGTGAATCCTGCTGTAGGTGCCTACCATAGCAGTGCTTCTTTTGGATTGATCATTGGTGGCTTCTGTGGATTGTACCTTTTAATGTTGGTCTGCAAAACAAGGTGGCAGAGACCCTTTTTGAGCTCCATTTGTCTCTCTTGTAAAGAAGAGGGAATGTGACCCAGTAATCTAGCTCAGTAATTCTCAGTTCAGAGTAAATTGACATCAACACTTACTGACTTCTGTAGAACTGGAGGACATGCTCAGATATCAAACTAGAACATCAAAAAGAGTGATCCCACCTAGTCCTACATGATATGAAGAACTGGAGGAACAGACAAGAGTGAAGTTAGCTGCAAACGCGTTGTGTCATTCAGTATTAAGGTTTGCTTTGGTTAGGTGGTAAGGGCAATATCAAGTGAATTCCAAAAAAAGAAAATAATGCCTACTGGTTTAGCAGCTGTGTGTCTTTAGATCATATTGGCAGAGAATGACTTCCAGCTTCCAAGCTCCCTTCTGAAAGCAAGAGTGAGTTTGACGATATGATTAAGAAAGGCTGTTTGGTGGCATGTACTACTTTGCAAGTGGCAAAACAGACATAAACACCAAATTTTGGCTGCTGCAGAGATCATATGCAAAAATAAGATAAGGATATGTTTTCTTTTATGTGTCTATATATACAAGTTCTGGTATAATTTAGTCTCTGAATTCTGCCTGCATCATTTTTTTGTTTTCCTTTCTAAAAACTACTCTTAATGCTGCTACAGAATACAGCAGCAAACTGGAAATAAGTCCAGAGATTTACTTTGCTATTTTGGAATAGGCTTTTCAGATTGAATTATTGCTTCCTTGAAGTTGTAGCAGATACCTGGAGAAGCTTGTCTGTATCTTCAGTGGGGAAGTGGTAATTCCATGTGTCAGTACAGGATGGGAAGTGACAGACTGATCAGTCTTGCTGAAAAGGACTTGGTGGTTATGGTGGATGCCAAGCTGAATATGAGCCAAGAGAATGCTCTCGTTTCACGTAAGGCAAATCTCATATTGTGATACTTCAGGAGGAGCACAGGCAGCAGACTGAACAACAGTCTTATCCCCTACTATTTGATGCTGGTAAGACCAAACTTGGAATACTGTGTCCAGTTTTGTTCCTTCTAGTTTAAGGGGAAGATGGAGAAATTGGAGATGGTCCAGCAGAAGATTATGAAGATTCTCAGGTGTCAAGAGCATGTACCTAGGATGAGGGTTAGAGGCAGCTGGGCTTGTTTAGAATGGGAAAGAGGAGGGTAGGGGGTGATCTTAGAATCTTATAACTGCCCTTCAAGCATCTGTAGACTGCTACAAAGATGATAAAGCCAAAGTTGTTGGTAATTGTAGGCAATGTAACAAGAGATGGCAGCCACAGATGGCAGCTCGAGAGGCTGAACTCAAGGGAAAACTTCTTTCCTAGAGGGTAGTATAGCACTGGAAAAGGTTATCCGTAGGTAGTGAACTCTTCATCCTCAGAGGTTTTCAAGACTTGGCTATACAAAACTAGATTCTTCTGTTGGCAGTAGTCCTGATTCAAGGGAGAGATCGGACTAGATGGTGGAACTGGAAGTTACTGTGTGGTCACAGAGCTGATGCCATCAGAATTGCAGAGATGTAATGCAATAGTTTGTATGACTGGAGTGCTGTAATGGATAGATATGGGCTCCTTATGAAAGATGGCATAGAAGATGACAGTAGAAGTGCTGGATGCAACAGCGCCTTTTTTGTGTAGAGCCATGGCTGGTGGTTGTTGAGATCTTGTGGGTCAGGACTAGGGGGAAGGCCAACAAGAACAACATCATGGTAGATGTCTGCCCCTCTTGAACAGGCGGTCTGTAGCAAGGCTGTCTTTACATGATGGGAAGAAACCTCCCAACTGGAGGTCCCAGTTTTGGGGGGATGGATTTTTGCTGGAAAAGCAGAATAGCAAGTTGCAAACAATCCAAAAGGGAGTTTTTCATGCAGATGCTGGATGAGTCAACAAGAGGAAGTATTTCACAGAGAAGGAAAAGAGTCAGGAAATGTGATGGTCAATGGCAGCCTTAATTGGAGTGATCATGAGATGATACGGGTTAAAACCCTCTGGGGAATGTGGAAGTTACGTATCAGACTAATGACCTTGGGCTTCAGGAGAACAGACTTAAGCTTCTTCAGAAAACTAGTAGTCAGGATCCCTTGAGAGACTGCTTTGAAAGGAAAAGAAGCCCAAAAGAGCTAATCAGTCTTCAAGGAGAACCTCCTCAAAGAACGGGAATGACCCATTCTGCTGTCCAGGAATATGGGCAGGCATAGCAGGCGGCTAGTGTGTTTGAGCATGGAACTCCTAGCTGTTCTTAAATGCTAAAAGGAGGCATTCAGAGAACAGAAGCAGAGGCAGGCTGCCAAGAAGAAATGTGTAAGTATTGCAGATATATTTGGGGTAAAAATAAGAAGGCAAAGCTTGCATGGAGGTGAAAGGAATATGAAGGGCAATGGGAAGGCTTCTGCAGGTGTGACAGCAGCAAAAGAAGGTGTGGGCCTGCTGCTAAGCAAGTAGCCTGGTGATGAAAGACATGGAAGAGGCTGAGATATTTGTAGCTTTCTTTGCTTTAGTCTTTACTGAGAAGGTCTGCTCTCAGATCTTTGTGCGTAGTTGTAAAGTTTAGCAGAGAACAGCATTAACCACTGTAGAGAAGGATCAGTTTAGGGAAGAGCAAATTGAGCATATACAAGGCCATATGACAAAAAGGGATGCTTCTGGTGTTGAGGGAGCTGTCTGCTCCCTCAGAAAGTCTTTGAAAGGTCATGGTGATCAGAGGAGTTCCTTGGGGACCTGAAAAAAACCAAATGTGCTTATCTTCAAAAGTAAAACAGGGCTACATGCTGTCCCAGACCTTATAAAAAATTATGGGGCAAGTCCTCATGGATGTGATTTACTGGTGTGTGAAGGTCAGGAAGGTGATTGGGAAGAGCCAGTGTGGATTTGCCAAGGACAAAGTGGGTTTGACCAGCTTGATTGCATTTTGCAATGACATGGGCTGGCTCTGTGGACAGGGGAAGAAGGATGGATGTAATTTTAACTTTAGCAAAGCTTTCAGCACAGTCTCCCATGTTATAACCAAACTGGAGAGATAAGGTAAGCCTACAGGGTGGATAAAAGGTGGCTGAACTGTTAGGCTCAAAGAGTAGTTGTCAGTGATTTTAAGTGTGTTGGCCAGTTACTAGTGGCATTCCCCAGTGGTTTCTCCTGGGGCCAGGACTGTTTAACATGTTCATTCATGACCTGGATAATGGGGTAGAGTACACCATTATCAAATTTGCAGTTAATGTCAAACTGGGGGAATGCCTGGTATGTGGTAGAACAAGACTGCCATTCAGAGGGATCTCAACAAGCTGGTGAGATGGGCTGTCAGAAATCTCCTGAAGTTCAGCGAAAGGTACGTGTGAAGTCTTACACCTGGGATGGAGCAACACCCTGCTGGATACAGACTGGATACTATTGGGCTAGGGAGCAAATCTTATGAACCTGCAGGTTTTGATATACAACAGTATGAACATGAATCAGCAATGTATTCTTGATGCAATGAAGGCCAATAGCATATGGGACGGCATTAGCAAAAGTGTGGCCAGCAGATAAAGGGAATTGCTTATTCCCTTCTGTTAAGGACTCATTAAGCTGCTTCTGGAATACTGTGTCCTGTGTACATGAGAAAGAGTCAGTAGAGGACTCACCAGCTACAAAAGATCATGAGGAGACAAGAGCATATGATGTGGAGGACAACTTTAGGGAGCTAGGTTTGATTACCTTGGAGAAGGCAGCAGCTAGGGAAGGGATGTAATTACTGTCTTCTGCTACCTAAACCATGGCTACAGAGAAGGAGCCAGACTTCAAGAAGGTGCACAGGGAAAGGACAAGTAGCCACGTTCACAGGCTGCAATAAAGGAAATGCTGATTGAACATTCAGGAAGTTCTTCACAGTGAGTGGTCAAGCACTGAAATTGCCTGCCCAAAGAGGTGGGAAACTGCTGTCTTGAAGACTTATAAAACTCAGCTGGACTTGGGCCTAAGCAGCCTGATCTAATCTTGAGGCTAGTCTTTGTCAAAGTGAGCAGAACTTCAGTGTTAGCTTGAGTAGGGTGAAGTTTCCAACCACTGAGTAGCACTCCTGTCTCTACCCATCTTCTTTTCAAATGGAGGATTTTGGAGGCTTACTGGAAAGACAGCACAAATTGAATAATTGAAGGAAAATTATTCTAATTGTCAGTGTCCTCATCTTACAGTTAATTGTTTGATTTCAGTTACTTACCACCTCTGTGGTGCTTTTCTCTTACCTCTCAAGCTGGACTAGATGACCTCCAGAGGTCCCTTCCAACCTAAGCTTTTTTATGATTCCATCATTCTGCCTGCAGAGGTCCCTCTCATCCTATGTTTCCATGATTCTTAATTCATTGTATATCTTCTGTGAAATGGTGGCAGTCCTTTTCTTTCCTGACATTTGGAAAACTTTGGGACCTACAATGCAACTTCTTGTTGCAGCTCATCAGCATGTCTTCAACATCAGGTGGTTAAAACAGTAACACAAGTCTTTCAGCCTCATATTGTAGGGGCAAAGATGTCATTTGTCCTGAGAATTATTACTTGTCCTGTTGCTCATAAATACTTAAGAAGTGATAAGTTATGTACCATGCAGTACCTGATTCTCTGAAGCATAGCTACTGTCTTAGACTACCTTGTTTTACTGAGCTTTCCCTCCTTCCTCATGCTTATACACTGTACTCGCAAGAGAGCTGATGAGACATTCTAATCTCCATTGCTTCTTGTTGGAGACTCAACTATCATACATGCAGCTTTGAGGTTCACTGGTGTGTTCACAGAAAAAAAACAACCAAACCTTTTCACTTTTTTGCATAGAGGAGGCATGCCTACCTCAGTTCAATCCATACTGACTTCTTGTGTGGGATTCAGCTGCCTGAACATAAATGCTGTTAGCGCACAAGTCTCCATACACCTTTCATCAAGGATGCCTGGTGGTTTCTAAAATGACAGTATGTGCCTAGGTTTAAGCTGCTGAATCCTGCCCTTTAAAGAAACTGCAGCCACTTCAGGGCCAGTAACTGTTCTGTGTGTATAATGCTTCTATTGCAGTAATATGGTAGAAACCCTGTGATGTTGCTAATAATTCTTCTTAATTTTCTAGCCCCATCAAAGAAGAAAGCAAGGTGAGAATACTACCCCCACAGGGGAATCAAAAGAGTTTGGTTTTTTTTGAGATCTCTTTACTTATTAAATAGATCTATTTTTCTGTAACAAACATCATCACGTATGGGGAAAATATTTTATATTGTCTTTCCACTGTACTTATTCCTTTTGTGTAAATTGTTCCTTCCCGTCCATGAGGAAATAGTAGCGATGGCTTTTGAAATATTGCCCTGGTTAGGCAGTTCAGTAGCAGTGTGATGTACTCATACAAAAAGATACTGCAATTCAAATTTCAAGCTGTTACCACTTTATTTAGGGTGCCATTGCCTGAGTAATTGTATAAAAGGCACCTCAGTTCATAGAGGAAGGAAAAAAACCACCATTACTTTAGTCATCTCCTTTAGCTGATCTGTAAAGAAGTTCATTAGTACTACTGATCTCTTTGAGAGTCAGTCAGAATAAGGACCTTTAAGAAATAATAGTATTTTGAATATGCCATAGAAAAAGATGTTCTGTATTGGTAAGTGATACAAATTTGGAAATTGAAATGTTTTGATTCTAGATACTATGAGTAAACCTAACTTTTTAGTAATCTTTAGAATGCATCTTAATCTTGTCATTTCTTTCTTTTCAAGGCGGGAAGATTACTGTAAGCATGAGGTATGTAGAGGTAGTAATTCTGCAAGTGTCGTATGTTTTAGCAGTTTCCTTATGCTTGCTTTTAATTTTTCTGAAAAACTTTTACTTTTTGGCTTTATTTGCTCTTTTACTAATATTATTGCAGAAGCAAAATAATTGACCTAATGACCACAGTTTTGTGTTCATCACAGCAGAGGGGAAATGGATACAGTACATCAGGCTGCTCATCCACCTTAGCTCTCATAATTGCTATTCGAAATTGCTATTCAAAGTCACTGAGAGTCTCAGACCCAGTGTCTGCAGGCCAGGTCTCCCAACCTGTGGTGCAGTCTCTACCACTCTGTTTTGCCTCTGTTCAGATCAGAGGTATTCTATACTGAAGGTTTGGTTTAAATCTTGAGATATAGCTAAAGATTTACAATCCTTTTTTCTAACTCAAAGGTGAAACTCAAAATTATCTCTTAAGTATTGGTCCTGAATAGCACAGGGCACAAACACTGAGAACTGCCTCATTTTTGTCTTAGTAGCAGAGGTTGTTTTGCAATCTGATGTATTCTGTGGTGATATCTTGCTCTTTTAGGCCTCAGGGTGGTCAGGTACTATGCTAGATGCAGCTGGGCACTTGACTTTTTTTAAACATGAGGTTGGACCTGAGTGAGGAAAGCCTGGGAAAGATGGCTCTTGTAGGTATGTAGCTTAGATGTGAAATGTGTTCTTCCTGGTATTGGAAGTAAAGCAGTTGTATTTGTAGTAGCTGCTTCCTAATTGCTATTGAGGCTCTAACGTTATATGTTTATGGCTGTGACCTAAAATTACTATCTTTTCTTTGTGTTGACTTTTGTTGTTGGAGAAAAGATTAAAAGGTCTTGTTTTGTACAAGATGATGCAACAAATACTGTAGTATTCAGTCTTTTAATTTCTCTTCCCCATTCTACAATCCCACAGAATGATCCTGTTCGGAAACAGAAAGCTCTAGAGTTCTTGGTATGTATGTAAAATAATTGTGATAAGAGTTGTGCAGCTTCACGAGTGTGATGCAATGAATATTGTGAAGGAGCCTCTGATTACTGATCAAACTCATTTAACCACAACATTAATTTCTGAGTTCTATTTTAATGGACTCTGCTCTTTGAAAAGCTAGTGCAGCTGTAGCATAATGTCAGCTCAGAACAACTTGCTGGATTAAATGCAAGCTCCCTACCTGTTCTCTGGATCATTCTTCCCTTTGCTGAGGAGCCACCCTGACAAGCAGTGTTGGCAGCACTGATGTTGCTGAAGTGCTGTTGGCTGCCCATATCTGTGGGATTGTTGATGAGAAGGAGATGGGATTGTCGCTGCCTGCGATGCTGTGGCTAGTGCTGCTGCTGCAGAACCAGACAGCCGAGTGAAACTGGGTGATCCTGAAGCACAGCTGCTGGCATTGGAGTGGGGAAGTTTTATCAGTTCAGTTGCTGTTAGGAGTGGCATAGCAAGCCTCGGTTTGTCTTTTGGGCTTACGGTGTGAAAATATCTGACCATTTATATTCACCATTTTACTCCATGAAAGTCATCTTCTGTAGCTAAGGCAATTACAAAATTTCATTTGAGTCTAAATTGTGTTTATACACTGAAATCACAACTAGAAGTTTTGAGATGTATACTTTGTTACCAGCTGAAAAGATTTTTTTTCTCTTTCAGTTTTTCTTCTTTTTCTTCTTTTAAACTGTGGTTACTTGTGACTTTAGGAAGAGGTAGAGAAAAAGCAAGTCTGGTGATAATCCGTAAACTACCAAAAACGCTTGGTAGACAGTTAATTGATTTTTACCTGCAGGAATCACAGCTATATTCCTTACAGCAGACTGTCTATATTCTTTCAACTTACTGTAATAACTTATAAATTGATCTACTTGGTAATCAGTCTCTTTGGATATTAAAAAGACAGGTAGCCATAATTGTTCTGTGCTTTATAGAATTGTATCGGTATCTTTTGGTATCTCTTATTGCCAAAATTACACATAGGAAAATTATAATGGAAACTTTCATCTTTTTGTTAATAAAATGGGGGAATCAAAGGCATTTGATGGTGCTGAAGCTTACTACTTATTCAATTTTCTACACAGACAACATAAATTTAGGACTTGCGCCCTTCTCCATCTGCAACAAAATGTTCATGATTCACAGTACGGGAGTGGGACAGACATCCAAGTTTATGTTTTACCTTTTATCAGGCCATAATTCTGTTCACAATTTTATTTTTTCATATGTGTGTGTGTACATGTATATTATGTATGTCTTCTATATCAACTAATCATATAAACTTAGTTATACCAAAATCAAAGTATAACTCTGATCTGTTTGTGTATATGACCTTTGGCATCCTAATGACCAATTCTAACCATGTTTTTCCACAGGAGACTTTTCACATCACCTCAGACTCAGAAGCAACACTTGTTGTTCATATTACGCAGGAACTCACAGAAGCTTTGAAGGCCTTTTGTGAAAAGAAAGCAGCAGTAAGTAGCTTAACCTTGACCAGAGTTGTTTTACCACTGGGACGAAAGGAGTGGTTGAACTCATTGTGTTAACACCCTGCCAAACTGTAATAGTTCAGGCATAGGTCAAAACCCCCCAGTTAAATATACTTTAATTTTTTTTTTTGCAATTTCTAAGTACCAAATACATTAATTGCCTGGCACACTTCTGTTAGTTTTTCATCTGTTTTGGTTTTCTTTTGCATGCTTTCTTCCCATTTGGGGCACTATTTTGCTTCATGATGTCTGGTTGTCATCCTTCCTTTGCAGCTGGTCCCTTGCTTGATAGCTTTTCTTCTAAGGTTAATCAGGCTTTAACTGCTACCCAGATGTGTCACTTCTTTTTTTTGTGGGCATGTAGATAAGTCTTTTTTTCTGGTGACTTGTAGCTCTGCTCCCAATTGAGAGCTTTAATCTGTTAAGACTAAGTAACGCAAGATGTTCCTGTCTTTCTGTGGGCCCTTACAAACCTCCATAGCTTCTTTGCATAAAAATTGAATACGTGTAGAAAAAAGGGTCTGAAGAAGGACCAGAATGTGTACAAAAATGACTCATCACCTCTGGCAGCTACTGGTTCACAAAATTCAGCATGTGTTTTTCTGAAAGGTATTTCAGACTGGTTTCTTAGGCATTAATAATATATTCCATGTGAGCTGAGCTATGGTAACTGTCTTTGTGCAAATGCCACCACCACCTTTTTGAATGCTACACTTTCAGAAATGTCATGCATTTGAATATAATGCAGTTCTCATGAGCTAGTCAAAAATTCTTGCCGTAGCTTAATCTCAGGTGGTAGCTGAGCCTTCCATTCTGCATTCCCCAGCTAGAGACAGGATTTGCATATGTACCAGTTTTATATTTCAGGCAGGTGATGTTGAGGGATATGGGGCAATAAAGTAATTTGAAACAGGTGACATTTGTCTTCCCCAGACACCTTATTCTGTTCTCCAGACACATACCTCTTCCAAATAATACTTTTGAAAATTGTGGTTTAATATGGTAATTGTGAACAACAAAACAACACATCCTTCATATGGAGTTTGCTGTCACCTAAAATTGTATTCTGCTAATTCTGCTTTCTGCTGTTCTGCTTTCTATGGGGAACTCGCTATTTTTTTTTTTAGAATGCTGAACACTTCAGTTTAAAAACAGACATTCTGACCTTTTGCTTTATCTAGGTTAATTATACTAACAGTCTGAGGCCCCTGATGTCAATATCTCAGGATGAATTTCCAGGAAAGAAAAGCATCCCAAAACAGTATAAGCCATATGGAAAATCCAAAGGTAATTTAGATGTTTTGTTCTCCTAGTTTAAGTCTACTCTTAATACTGCATAGATTGTGAAAATTTACTTTTATAGCCAGCCATAGTGCTTCTTTGCTAGAGTACTGTGTGTCTTTGCCCCTCCGAGTCAGTTCAGGATAATATTTTCTGAAGCCTTAATGACTTCAACCTTGACTCTCTAAGAACACTTCTGTCTCACTGAATAGTATTACAGCAGTAACGGTTATTGGAAATCCAAGCAGTAACCTTTCCTAACCTGTTTAACATGAGGATTTCTGGGTGAAAAAATGCTGGACTCAGGCAAGATGTAAAGGCAGGAAATGGGAAAAGAACAGGAGAAGAACACTTCATAAAACCTCAAAGTAGTTGTGTTTTCAGTTGATATTTTAGTATTTTGCCAACTTCTAGTGCCAATTATTTATTTATTTATTTATTCAGGAAATTCTAACTGGAATCAAGGTTTTTTGTCTCAGTATGAAGAGTGTTCTGCAGCTGCTTCTTTTGCCCCTGCTAACTCATACACTTACCAAACAGATGATGGATCATCTTCCTATGGACTAAGATCTAATGACTTTGCAATGATGTCTGCGCTCAGGGACTCTTTTGCTCTTCAGACTGGAAGTCCTGCCAGTGGTATCAGCGAATGGCTGAGACAGTTCAGCCGATCTGCTGCTGGCAGTAATTCAGCTGGTGGGGCCGCTTCCTATGAGACAAGTCCAGTGAGTGAGTACTCAGCAGAATGTATGTCCAACGATGTGCGAGGAAGTAAGCTCCCTGATAACAGAATCTTGTGTGGCGGGGAAAGTACAAACTGGAGGAGTCAACAAGCGTGTACAAAAGCAAGAAGTGTAAGTGATCAAAGATTATCCTATCCCAATTCTTCTGCCTCATATGCTTCATCTGGAAGATATTCCACAAACTATCTTTTGCAAAGCTATTCCTCTTACAAGAATGATGAGTCTGTGAATACTTGTATATCTTCTGCAAATTCTGCTGTATCAGGAAGAGGTGGCTCCAGGTGGAATCAGAGCTCTAGCTGGAATCAGAGCTCTGGCTGGAACCATGAGAGCTCTAGCTGGAACCATGAGAGCTCTAGCTGGAATCATGAGAGCTCTAGCTGGAACCATCAGAGCTCTAGCTGGAACCAGGAATCTAGCTGGAACCAGGAATCTAGGTGTCAGGGATTCAGGCATCAGAAGTCAGGCTACAAGAGTGATTGGAGTTCACATCAGTACTCGTTTTCAGGCAGTGGTTCGTACAGAGATTACCAGCAATTCAGAAGCTCAGATAAGATGTTTGATGAAGATTCTGTTGGTCTCACTCCCAACATTTTGAATAGACTACGAGGAAAGGATGTACCTACAATGACCAGGATGCTCAAACAGTTGGCTCCATATTATCCAGCACTTCAAAGTAAGATTGTGATTAGTTCTCATGTACAATGAGTTACATCAACATAGTTGCTTTAACATAAGCAGATTGTGTGTTGCAGAGATAGTATGCCCTGTTCAGCAGAGTTGAGTTAATTTTGCTCAACATCCGTATCAGTTGAGGAATGGTGTTAATTGCCTCTCTGAGGAGACTTTGCCTCTTGACAGCTAAATAGAGCTGTGAGTGGGAGGAAATTTTGATAGCACAAAAATTTCCTGAGTTGAAAGGTTTGTCCTAGGTCATCTTGCTAACTAGCATCTTATATCATGATCAGAGTTTGTACTGTTGGGGTGGCAACTATGGGGAGGGAATGTATTGGCGTAAAGAAAAAAAATATTGGAATGCATGCAGAACCAAACTTGGATGGCATTATAATAGATGAAAGTACTCCAAAGGGATCAAACACTTTGGGATAACAAAAGAGAAATGTTATTAAAGAGCTGGTTTGTTATATGACAAATTATTTTTTCCAATTATTGTAGAAACATTCCCTAACATTAAAAATAGTGATACACTATTCAAAATAAAAGATTCTTCTTTGGAAATAGATTATACGAGGGATTTAAAGGGAGGTGGGCATATGCTACTTTATAGCTGTTATTAGGCGTGAGTTTGGACAAATGCAAACTATTCTTATACTAGAATTAGTTAATTAACTAGGTAGCTAGTTAATAGTAAAACTTTAACATTCTCTCTGCTGTATTATGTGAAATAACGTGAAATAGAAGTAACTTCAAATGTTTTTATCTCCCCTTTCTAGAACTAAATATTCAGACATTAGTCAATGTGCTAGTAGAAACTAGAGGAAAAGATTAAGGAGCAACAGCAGCTGAACTGGAAACAGATGAACAGATTGGAGAATCTCCATCTCTCGGATTTCAGGAAAGAGACTGCATTTAATTCTGTGTTTGACTGGTTTTGGAAGGGGAAAGGGAGGTAGGGTTTAATTTCTTAACATGTGAAATATAGCTGGAACACAAACTTGCACATAACGGAGGTGAACATACTATTTTGTTTAGGCTTTTTTTAATGTATTTGTTATATCTTAGTATATTACAGAAAAAAATTTTTTGTTATTTTTTGAAAATATGTTAATGTTATTCTGTCAGCAAAAAGCTAATAACCCTTTTAACACCCTTCCCAACTCAGAAAAAAAGAAACGTTTAGTTTTATGTTATCTACTTAGAATATTCACTGAAAATACAGGTCCATTGCATGAAAATACAGGTTTACTTTTCTTCACACAAATGTAAGGCCAGTTCAGTTAATTTGAGGCTTTATAATTAGCATATTTTTAGAAAGTGATACACTACATTTCTGTTTAGACGAAGAAAGGAGAATGTCACAGCAAAGGTATTCTCTGTCTTAACATGATGCTATATGAGGAAAATGTAATCTATTCTAGGGGATTGGTATGTAATGGAGCATATTACTTGCTTTCATTTTTGCAGAGTAAAACCAGTCGTGAAATATATACAGATTTTTTTATCACATTGTTCGGAATGAAATGGTTACAAATCAACTAAAAAAACTCATTTGATGGATTGGTCCATACTAAAATAAAAATTCTTGATTCTTTCTACTGGCAAAAGCGTACTAAGAAAGAGTAGAACCTATAAGGCAGTCAGCTAAAATAACAAGGAAAAATCAAAATGGCATGTTAACTGAGAAACACTTACCAGTTCGTGATGTTTGTCAGTGGTCCCTACTTATGTTTTCTTTTCCCCACGCTTCTGAGCCACATGCTCATGAATGCCTGGCTTTAGATGTCTACTTTATCTAATCAAATCAAGCTTACATGGAGCTAAAGAAAAGAAGTGAGACAGTTTACTCTCCAGTGTCCGTTTTCCTTTTCACTGCTGTGTTGTGGACTATCATACCTGAAATATTTCTCTGTCTCTGTGCATTAAATACTTGTGCTAAACCAGGGTTAGTATGAGCTGTCATAGTATCTTTTTGCGTTCACTAAAATAACTTTTTGGATCTTGTCATGTAAATTTTAACAAAAAGGCATCAAAGCAATTTATTACAGAGCATACAAACTTGATTCCCTAAAATCCTCCTTTTGTAATTGTTTTGCTTGTGCATCAGAAAAGGTGCACTTTCCTTCTTCATTCCTGTTCACTACTTCCTTTTTTCCTTCTCATACTTATTGAAGGGTTTAAGTAGTTTCTAATGGCGTACGCTTAGTAGTTGTGCCATACACTTTTATCCATTGAATTACATAGTAGACCTTCTTGCTTAAAGGGGAAAAATACTATTGTCTACCACAGGTGTCTGCCAGAGTTTTGATTTAAAACTCTGTGGGACTGATCAGTTATTATATATGTTTAAAAATTATCAGAAATTATTTACACAAATGTTACTACCATAGGTTTTTTTTCCACAGAAATTGTAGTGCAGCTAAAATTCTGAAACTGTAGGAAAAAACATTGCTAGCAAATGTTACTGCTACAACTCTGTCAATTCAAGTTAAGACCTTTTCAGCTGAGGTTGTTGTAGAGAGCTCTTTCTTCCCATTTCTCGCTCCCTTTGGGATTTTACTGCCATTACTGTATATCCCAGTGGCATACAGCAGCTAGATGATCTCTGCCCAAATTAGATGCTCTTTCTGCCTACACATTCCCTTCTTATTTTTCGTTCTGGGGAACAGTTCCTGTCCCTGCTTCTTGTTGTGCAGGGTCCTGCATTGGGGAAACGGTTCTTGCATTTTGAAACGGAGTTGGAGTAGTGACCAAGTTAAGAGAGGAAATGCTTTTCAGCATTTATTTACTAAAGGTTTCCTGAGCTGTAGATAGCATTTGGAGTCTTGTAAATGCCCTTCACTGCTCTGTTTCAATTTTCAGTTCTTACCAAAATCAGTGAAATTTTTGAGATGATTGTCTGTTGGTTCTTATACACAAGTACTATCATGTAGGGAATTTTTTTTAAGCTGGTGGTATCTTGTAATATGGACTCCAAGCCTGCCTTATCTCTTGGGTGCAATTACTATCAGCAGTGTGGTGTTCTCAGTTTTCTTTCAGTCACTTGGCTGAGCCAGTTTCAGCTGTATCACTGCTTTCTCCTTAATTGTCTTTTTATCTTTCTTCTTTCCAAAGATCTTCCTAGCTTTGGAAATTAAGAGCTTCACTGTGCAATTTCTGTACTGATACTGGCCTGGGGTCTGCCAGTTGGCACTCCCAGGTTTGACTGACTTTTGGTCTATAGCTGTGACCTCTGCAACTGGTTTCAGAGACTCTTCTCTTGTGTCCCATGCCACCTGCCAACAGGTATAGCTGCCTTGTGTCAAACAAGTAGCATCTTCGTTATTGCAGGAACACATTCCTTTCAATTCATAGTTCAATTTCCAGTTCAATTTCATAGAATCATAGAATGGTTTGGGTTGGATGGGACCTTTAAAGGTCATCCAGTCCAACCCCCCTGCAATGAGCAGGGACATCTTCAACCAGATCAGGTTGCTCAGAGCCCCGTCCAACCTGACCCTGAATGTTTCCAGGGATGGGGCATCTACCACCTCTCTGGGCAACCTGTTCCAGTGTTTCACCACCCATGAGGTAAAAAATGTCTTCCTTATTTCTAGTCTAAATCTACCTTCTTTTAGTTTAAAACCATTACCCCTTGTCCTGTCACTACAGACCCTACTAAAAAGTTTGTTGCCATCTTTGTCCTAAGCCCCCTTTAAGTATCAAAAGGCTGCAGTGAGGTCTCCCCGGAGCCTTCTCTTCTCCAGGCTGAACAACCCCAACTCTCTCAGCCTGTCCTCATAGGAGAGGTGTTCCATCCCTCTGATCATTTCTGTGGCCCTCCTCTGGACCTACTCCAACAGGTCCGTGTCTTTCCTGTGCTGAGGACCCCAGAGCTGGATGCAGTACTGCAGGTGGGGTCTCATGATTGCAGAGTAGAGGGGCAGAATCCCCTCCCTCGACCTGCTGGTCACGCTTCTTTTGATGCAGCCCAGGGTATGGTTGGCTTTATGGGCTGTGAGTGCACATTGCCGGCTCCTGTCCAGCTTTTCATCCACCAGTACCCCCAAGATACCCACTAATTTCCTAGTATTCAAATGAAGGGCAAAAAGAAACGGACAGAAGCATCTTCAGGATGCAACTCTGCAAAGGGATTGTTTACCCCTGTGACAGGTGTGATGAATTTCCTTTTTTCCAGGGCTGTGTAGAATTGTGAGTACTAAGCATCATTGCCTCATTTGGAGGGCTTCTGTGACACCTTCCCTTCCTCCGCAGAGCCAGATACTTGCAGCTTGGGATTGTTTTCTTTTACAGGATCGACCCTGAGGATCCATCAGCCTGTTTCACTTCTTTCTCTCTAGCCAGCAGCTCACCCTACAAACATGACTCCTGAGAGATGGTGACTTTGGATTGTCTTACTTGTTCTCACTCAGTTCAACCCTGCCACTTTTAAAGGGGGATTCAAATGATGGTAGGAAGAGGAAAGCATAAATCCAGGCTTCTGACCTTTATGGCACCTGACCAGCAGTGTCTACAAAGGCTCCAGGTAGGAAGACCTCATGGAAAAAAAACGTAAAACATGCCTTGGAAGTTCTGTCATCCTGCCAGTTACTTGTTCACCAGGCTAGCATAAGCCGAGACCTCCTGTTGCTTCTGTTTTCCAGCAATGGCCAATTTCCTTGAATCAACTTCTGGCTACTCCTTACTCCCAAGAAAACCCCTTTGCTTTATCTTGCTCCCATGTAGTATAGAACTGGAGCAGAATGAGTCCTCTGCCTGTTCCTGTTTCTCTAGACTCTGGTCGTTCTTCAAGAAACAGCCTTCACAAGGTGGGCAGTGATAGCCTGCAGAGCAGCATCACTTTAAATGCTTGCCATCCATCGGCACTAATACAGCTACGCCACAAGCTTTGCCACTGAGGCAAGAGTTTTGAGGCTGCACCAGAGCCCTTTGAACCAATTTCACATTTCCTTAAAAAGCCATTGATAAAAATCCAGACTAGAACATGCTTGGTGGGATAAACGGTCTGCTTCCCAGCCACTTTCTTGGTCTGTGGTGTACCTGCTTTCACACCTTTAGAAGCATCTGTTTCCCACTGAGACAAGAGTCATTCCTACCATTTAATGGGGCCATTTAATGGAGAAGCTCTCTTGAGTCCAAAACTTTGGGGCTCTTCTTTTACTGTTTTGTTTCTGAAGAGAACATACATAGCAATCGTCTCAGCCTTCCAGGGAGGTAAGGTTTGAGCAGTTGGAAGTCTTTCTCCCTTGTCTTCTTAAACGTAAGGAACTTTCACAGTTCATCCAAGGCTGTTGGATGAGGTGGTCTCTGACATCGGTCATTATTCCTGCTCCCCCACCTCACCCAGAAGCAATCCCTTGCCCTTTGGGTGATGATGTGCTTTGGGAGAGCTCCTTGCTTCTGTGCACTTACTTATGCTATGGAGACCATTGGTCTCTCCCCAGACACTTCACACCAGAGAAGTGTTTAGAAAACGTTGCTGAACTGTCACCAAGGGTCTGTGTGATTATCACTTGACAACCAGTAGCAGCTTCTCTGCAGGACAGATGTTTGGTAACTGCCACTTGGCTGTCTTCACCCTGACACCAGACACCGTACTCTGGCTGAAGACACTTGGGAATAACACTACAACAGCAATTTTTTATTTTTTTTTTTAGGTAGGGTGTCTTTCGTGTGTGGACCCAAACCCTCTTTGCATAATCTCTTGGAATATGCTTGATATCACTGACAGCATCAGTTTATATATAGGCACTCCCGTCAATGACAGCTTACCTGCCTGTAGCTGTATGTAATTACAAAATTTGAAACAAAAGGGCACGTGTGGACTGCCTGCATACAATGAGTTGGGGCTGGGAGAGGACTTAAGAATAAATCAGTATTGCTACAGTTTAAGAAAGCCTTTGGATAAAAGCTAAAAGCTCTTGCCTGTAAACATATCCTGAAGAGTAGCAGCTACAGGTAAGTAATACTTCTACTTGAGTGTTTTTAAGTGCTTTGGATAGCGCTGGTCTAAGATTTTCTTAGAGCAGTCTAAGAGAGCTTGTTAACTTCTCTTTGCTTCCTCCAAGTTGCTTCCTCAGAGTTACTGCAGGAGATGGTGTGTGACAGGAATCTGTCATCATTACTTATTTTGCTTCAGTTTTTCCACTGTGCCCCTCACCAGCTGTAAGTGGTGAAGTGGAGGGTAAGGTTATGAAAATGTTTTGACTGTCAATTCAAGGCCACTTCAAGTAAGAGCTTCAGCACAAAAAGGAAGACTGTTGGTGTAAAATGAGCCCACTAAGCAGAGGGAACTGCATATCCAGAGTAGTTAGATGCAGTTTATTTTTGTAGGGAGCTCATTGAGGAAGAAGTTGTATTTGTAGATGGCCCAAGGATAGCCTGAAAGGCAGCTAGAAAATAAAAAGATAAGGCAAGGAAAAAAGGCCATCACTGTTAAGTGGGAGGGACCCCTGAACCACAGAAAACTAGAATACAGAAATAAACCCACGACCCCCTTAAAAAAGCTGTACAAAAGTGAAGTAGACTATAAAAGTTGATCTGATATTTTTACTTAATTTTAAATTCTGTATTAAAAATTAATACATTAAACTCTTATAAAAGTAAGGCACATGCAAAACATGTTGTGCAACTTCTGACTTTCAACTCTCTTACAAACTAACAAGCATTATTTTAATTTGGCATTTCTAAAGAGTCATTTTTCCCCATGCAGGATATGTGGAAGAAGGTTAAGTTTGACATTGCACCAGTTAACTCTAGATTCTGTGCTTTCTGTACTACAGTAAGCAGAGATGGTCGTATTGTACAATAATACAAAATAAAAACCAACTCAAGTGCAGATTCTGAAGGTGATGACCAACATACAAAATCTAAGAATGTGAAGTTATATCCATTATGATACATCAATAATCTTATTCAGTACAGGATGATTTGGCAGCTCCAGTCTGTGTAATGCCAGTGTGCAACTCCCAGTTATCTGTGTCATACAATGCTGAAGACCATGGAAAGGTACTGCTCATAGGACACCTGAATCCAGCCATCTTGATCAGTATCGTATCGTCGGAACACATCAGTCAACCTCTGAAAAGGGGGAAAAAACCATACATTTTTTGTACACCAGAGAAGTTCAGACTGCCAGGTATTCCCCTTGCCACTTAGGTTTCTATAGCTTTGCGAACACTTTCTGTTCATCCCCTCTGTAGACACTTTACAATCTCGTGCATATAGAGGCAGCTCTTTGTCACGTCTGTGTAGCAGATCCGATTCTAAAACTGCCTTACGATACAATACCTAAGGCTATCTAGGCACTTCTTTACAGGCCAGACAGCTTTTTATAACTGGCTTCAAAAGCAGGGAAAAACAATGCACAATTCTTGTGAGGCATTTGAGAGTCACCTGGAGCCAGAATCCAACGAGTACCTTATCCACTTCTCATCTTCTAGCCAAATACGCTTTTGTATCATTAGTATCTGCATAGCCCCAGAGACGCCAGGCAGTACGGACAGTGGACCAAGGTAACTGCCAGCGTGGTTTCACTAACCTTAGCTGAATGATACTCCCATTTCAAAGCCTCTTTACGAGAGTTTAAGTTCATAACTCAGTATAATTGGCTAATATTACAAATGAATATAAAGGCAACTGATGCTTCAGCAGCCTTGTGGTTATAGACATAAAGCTTAAAGGAGCAGAACAAAACACCTGTATGCAAATAACAGAGATATTACTTTTATGGGGCACTGCTTTCTCTTCATGTTGTGTATCAGAAGATATCTTAAGACACTGCTTGCAATGCTGGCCAGCGTAAGAAGAGTAACCTTCTTCCTATCCTGCTAAAACTCAGCTTGTCCACTGCTATATTTCCCAACTTTTCCCCAAAGCCTTACATACATTTCAGAAAAGTCAGATACACTTGGAGAAACCTTAAGCAATGAGGTGAGGAATCATCCAGTGATTGATTTCTAAACAAAAGAATACACTTGTAAAACTACAGTGTTCTCTCTCTATATATATATTCACACATGCATTTCTGTTACTGAAAGGGGCTTTTTTTGTTTTTTTGTTTGTTTGAAATGTCTTTGCTGTAGCAGTGACAAAAGACTGAATAATTCAGCTGTTAGGTCAAATTCTTTTTAGTCAGAGCCTTAAACAGAGATAAACAAAAACCTCACAATTCAGATTACAAGAATTATGGGCACCAGGGGACAAGACAGACTCCAGTTTTAACATGCTCAGGATCCAGAGGAAGTGTGCATATTAAACTAATTGAAATAGCGTTAAATGTTTTCCTTTTAAAACACAGACTATTTTACATTTTTTTGCCCCACAGAAGTCAAACGTCAAAAAAATCGTATCAAATTTACTTGTGATGCAAATGGATAACAAGT